AATAAACGTGCGATATATTTCGCGCTATCAAAGCGTAAGCGGTGATTTAATCCATGATAGAAATCGTTCCAAATTGAGCTGAGATTTATTATTTGGTCTACTTAAAGTTCTGCTGTATGCAAAAAATATCATTTTGTTCCTTACACAGCGTGCCACAGGTAGCCACTTACACTGTAATTATGTATGAAAGTGTAAAAAATATCTGCATTTTGCATGATCTGATAGAAGCCGAAAATATACGAATTATTCTTTCGCAGAAAAAATCTTTCTTGACTGATCAAAAAATTAATCGGCCAAATTTAAGAAATCGTAACAACCAACATGGCATAATAACTTTTGAGCACTACGCATATGCTATTACTTTTTGGTCTATTTAAAGTTTTGCTGTATGCAAAAGATATCAATTGTTTCATACACAGCGTGAGTGAGATTAAATTCAAAAAATCTCAAAAAAAAACATTTTGATATTTATTTTTTTGAAACGGCATCGTTTTTTTTTAAAACGAACACTGCATATATCTTAACAGGCACTCGGAGCATTCTAGTTTTGGCCCTGAGACGAGCAATCTTACCACAACTAATGTTCAAAATGTTCCGACAAATTCAAAGGGAGTTTTTTTTATAAATCAAAAACTTCCAATTGCTGCAAACTAGATATTCAGCAGGACAAAATATGGGCAGAAAAGTTCTTGTAAAATTTAATTTACCAAACTTTACAAATTTAAAAACAATTGACAAGATAATGCACAAATTTGCAATGATCTTGCTAAAGTTTTCTGGTCCATGGGACTATGTATATTTAGAGAAGATCTTGAATTCCGCACTTCAAAAAACACACTTTCACAATATCTTTTCAAGATTTTCCAAGATTGAAACACTAGATAATTCGAGATATTGATTGAGATAGACACACACAGTGGAGGATTTAGAGGGGAAGGCGTGAAAAACGAATTAATTTTTTAGTTAGTGTTTTTGCTAAGATCTGATGATTTTCAAAAAAGAGAAAAACTGGTTCCGTAGCAAAAAAAATTACCGGACGAAAGAGTTTAGAAACAAATGTCATTTTTTGAAATATTTTAATTTAATTTTATTTATTGATTATATTCACGGTTTGTAGTCAATAGTATGCCTTAAAATCATCAACTTTTGTTATGGTTTTTTAATTATTGGTTTAATGCACACATGCGTCAAGGCAAATTATCTATGCTCATTCTCGTAATAGCTCTCCCAAAAATCTTTTTAGACTTGTTCTACTCCAAAAATGAATCTCATTTTGATTTGATATATCAATTACTAATATAATAATTTCAAGTTGTTGTTAGAAATATTTCACGTGTTTGAAATGCTGCACTAGTTTTTCAAATTTTGAAAAATGTTTTAAATGAGGCACTAGCTTTTGAAATATGGAAGTGAAATGTACTGAACATGTGCTATTTTTTTGCAATGTTTTTACTAAAGCAATCAGCCAAAACAAAATAGAAAAGACAATATGCATCTTATCCTGAAATCTTTTTCAAATGTGTGTTTTGTTAAATTTTTTAATATTTGTTCTATACTAGACAAGTAAAAAAATATTGCATCTCGACACTTGTTCACATCACGACACCGCGTGCATCGATCTGATTACAAAATTTCTCGCAGCAATATATAGCTTTTGCTTGTCTATTTCATAACTTTCAAAAAAAATTGTAAAAAATTGCAGTTGTTTTTTCATTGCTTACAGGTATAACGGCGCTAACAAAAGTGATCTTTTTTGAACTTCCATTCTGTGAGAAACCAATTGAACAAGTTTTCTAAAAATTCGATAACCGAGTTGTGTACTAATCAGGCAAAGAATACTCTAATTGACAAGTGTTTTCAAAAAATGTGGTCAATGAGACCATAGTTTGAGGTTGCATAATTGTAATGAAATTTGAATTTATGCATTATACTTTGCAAGAAACTCCGCTATTTCATCCTACGATGTGCCCTAGCATTTTCAACAAAAAGTGGCCATTATAATATATATTGCCGTTGTTGCTGTTATACTTGGCAATATATACTGAGCGACAATCAAAGTTCGATATCCCAGTTTTTTCGAGACGTTTTTTCAAGAGTTGTTTTGACATGCATGTTTGTTTTTGACTTGTTACAACATACATGGTATTTTCAAACACATTTCTGTTGAATCCCCTCTCTTTTCACAAATATTTGGATTTTTGAAGATATTCTTTTTGTAGTAGTCTGCGGAATTATGATTATATTATTCATTAATTTGATTAATTTTTATGATAACTCATAATTTTTCGGTTTTGGATTCTTCACTGAATTTTGTGCTGAAAAAATCACTATACAGGTGATTTAACACGCCGGATAAACTGAACTAAGACGCAATTTTCAGTTTCGTTTACATCGTATTTCGTTAACTTTAGCCAGGAAATGTTGAGGACAATTGAGGACCAATTTCACCAGCTTTCTTGTAATGCAATTGTTTTTGCAAAACTTTGAAACAAAGTTACACTTTTGAAATGAGTCATGATTTAATTTTAAACAGGTAGGCGGGTTCAATTAATGTTTATTCCTTATCACTTGATCCGGTTTACTTTTTGATATTTGAATCAAATGAATTGACCTGTTTTAAAGGGGTAATTTTTATTCGAAATTTTGCATGAAAACTAGTTAAATTCCAAGCAAATTTTGAAAAGCCTGACCAAAAAACACAACTCACAATTTTAATTTGTCACTGAAAAAACGATAAAATTTTATTTCTGAAAAAAATAAAATGTAAAAGTTGGTCTGTGCTGACTCTAATTTCCACCTAAATTCAGCAACTTTCTTGCCTTCTTAAGGTCAAAAGATTGGAAAAAAAACCAATGATAATCCCTCCACACATTTTTTCTCATAATCAACGTATTTTTGATTAATTTCAGGCATCAAATTAGTCATTTAGATTTACACTCAATTCTTTACTCTCTTAAATTCTTTACTCTCTTTTCAAGGTCCATTTTGACAACATTTACTTCAGTTTTGATCAAAAATTTTACATAGACCGAGAGCAAATGCTCAAAATTACTCTCAATGAAGTTACCTACATTTTGTTTTAAAGACTTATCAAGATAATCCTTGTCAAGGTTGAAAAACTAAGAGCCGACAAGGAAATCTGGCCTTTTCATTACATTTGTCAGTTTTTTAAAAGAAATATTGGTATTTTACATAGAGGGTAGCTCTGATCATTTGCTCTTGGTATATGTAAAAAAAAAGTAATCAAAACTGAATTGAATGTTGCTTAAACTGGACATTAAAAACAGGCATTTTGGAGAGTGAAATTTAAATTTGCGATTAATTTCGCCCACTAGTAAAGTAATCACACCGAAAAAAAAGTTAAATCCAATTTTTTTGATGCGTATTAAATGTCGTCCAGTATGTATAGGCTGTAGAAAACTAAGACACATGGCTCATTAAACCAAGTGACAGTTATGAAACAAAGAAGAACGTGTTTCCAAATGTTCCAAGCAACTGTAAATACAGAGAGAAAAACAATCAAAAAATTACAAATTTTGAGCTTAATATGCTTCAATCTGGTTGATCCAGTGAGTTGATCTTCGAACTATTATTCAATTTTGTTGCTATGAAATTTTCTAACTATTGATGTAATTTATATGGAAGAAATTTTAAAAAGTTGATGTCTTTAACAACCTTCGAATGAAGGCAACAGAAGAGTAGTATGTTTTTCATTTCTTTGCAGTTATAACTAAAATCGAAAAGTTTTTTTAGAGTTGATAATCAGAAAAAAAACCATGCTTTTGGGGACTTTTAAAATTTATATCACTCAAAGTTATAACAATTTTTGAGTAGACACAAGGATAGATAGAGTGTTCGAACTCTAGTATTTACAAAATACAAACAAAGAATGATTTTTTTCCCGAATTCGTGCAGTATTTTCTGCGTGGTAAGATCAGAGGATCTAAATAAAAATCATGACTGTCGAACCTGAGAATGTTCGACAATCATAGTAAAATAAACAAATTGGATAGCAGTTTTTGTCGAATAATGACTAGAAAAACAAAAGAATCAATGTGTGCAATCTGTTTCGATTTTTTTTTTCAGAAAATGTACTTTTTTTTTGAATCGTTTTTTTTTCCGAAAAAAAGGGCGTTGAAAATTCCAAAAACTAATTTTAATCAAGTAAAATTAGTTTTCAGGGCTTAAGTTAAGCATTAATAAGCTAATGCAAGCCTTCTCGCTCGCTTCACTCGCTCAAAATTTAACTAAAAATCAAAAATTGAAACCAGTTTTTCTCAAAAATGAGAATTTCTTTGAAAAATATTTCAAGTCTTTTGAATCACGACTGAAAGGGCTTCAAGTTTGTAAATCACTTGACCCATTCCGATGATTATTTGCGGTACCTGATTTTGCGTGAAAACCAAGAAATTCTTCCCGTTTTGAATGGTCAGAGCAAAAACTTAGATTTATTAATTTTAAAGTACCAATCTGCGCAACTATATATAGTAAAATATCGGGGTTGGGCCTGCGTTTCGTTGGAAACAAGTCTTCATATTAACTTTTCTCTGTAGTTATCTGTAGTTATAACTACAGAGAAAAAGTTTAATATTTTTAATAATGTATGTCTTAAGCAATAAAATTTGATCATATTCTTTCAGCTGGTGAAGAAAACTTAAACCTTTTGTCAGTGTTCATATGCAAGTTTTGAGTTTCAGATCGACACAGCTTAAGACATTAAGTTTTTTTGAAATAATAAAAATGAGAAGTTTCCTTTCGAATAATTATGAATCCCGATGTTCTGTAGAAATATCTCTAGAACAAGTGAGCTTCATGTTCAAAAAACTCCAAAAAAAATAGAAATGTGGGAAATATTAGAACAATTTAACAGTTTTTCTACAGAAATAAAACTAATAAGTTTTACCGTTTAAGTTCTCAGGATAAGACACATTGTCAGAATCTGCAAAAAAAAACTGTCAAACAATAAAAAAATGTTTTCAAAATAATCATAGGTCAGTGGCATGGTTAGTGATTACGACTACGACTACTTCCGAGGTCACTTCTACGACTATGATTACTCATCCGATCGGAATGAGAGTTCGACTTCTAAGTACAAATTGATCTCAAGCGACCGAATCATCAACGGCAAGTCGGTTGACATTAGCCAACATCCGTGGACTGTATTCATTAGTCTAGGGTAAGTGTTAATTTTTTGGGCTAGCTGTACAAGAATTCTGACGCCAACAATCTGAGTTTTTCGAAATTTCTAAATTGTAGGTCGTAAGGTTTTTGACAATTCATCAAAACAATCAAAATAAACCTTACGGCACGAAGCTTGGGTACTTTGGTAGTATAGTTCAGATCCCATTATTTGACTGTAGATTACACCGCTTTTTGCCAGTTATTTATTTTGTCGCTGAATTCTAGAATTTTCTTTGAATCAAGCAAACGCAATACTGAACATTTAAAAAATATTGCTCCTCTAAATTAAATTTTTAGTCACCCTTTTTTAAAAAAATTTTTCGTTTTCAACTACCTTCATTTTTATAAATCACCTTCGTTCCCATGAACAATCTTCATTTTATCCCTTGATTTAAACATTAAGAAGGTAAATAAATCACCATTTAAGAGCATATAAATCCCTTATTTTCCTTTGATAAATCTTTAAGACAAAATTGAAAATATAAATGAATCCCGCAATTGGAAATCAATTTGTTTGCGGTAAAAATTTTCACAGGGTAGCTCAGAAGTCATTGTTTAAGTCATTGCCTCTTAATCCTGCATCTATATACCTATAGGTGGTAATAGAATCCCGGGGCGCTGATACATGTAGAATTCAGGGGTTTTTGCACAGCTAAACCTGCGATATTTCAGAGAAAATTCAATAATGATTCATTAGAAAATCTTTAGAAAATCAGCGCAATTTTAACTTTAAACTTTCAAATGATATTGTGAGTTAATAAATCTTATAACTTGTACAGATCTAAGAAATGGTGGTGCAGAGGTAGCATTCATGTAAAAAAAGTTGATGGCTGCGGTATCGAACACCGGAAAGTTTCAAATTTTGCTCATTTTGACTGGTTTTTATCGTTGTTTAATCGCTGAAATTATAAATTTGCTATTGTGGCAATGAACATCGATAATTTTCTCTTTGTTTTCCACACAATATCAGGTATCACAAATACTCACCGAATGGGTCACGCAATATATCATATAAAAACCCTTTGAAAAATAATTCGAAAGAAATAAAAATATTTTAAAAGTTTTCTCAGTGTTGAAAAAACCAGTTTGAAATTTTTAAAATTTGGTTTGATTTCGAGCAAATAAGGTGAGAGATCAGGTTTGTTTTTTTAACCAAAATTATTTACCGCAAATAATTATCTTAATGGAGGTAATAATAAATCTTAGTAAAACACTTTTAGCCCTGATTCGAATAAAATTAATAATTTTGCAAAACGTTATTCCAGTATCGAGAAAAGCCGGTTTGAATTGTTTGAGTTTAAATCTAAATTCGAGCGAGCAGGCGAGCAGGCTTATTGTAGAAGAATAAGCCCTAAAACCTTAATTTAACTCCGGTAAAATTATTTTTCGAAAATTTTGTCCCATCGTCAGAAAAAGAAAGGTCAAAAATTCAAAACAATTTTTGCAAAAAACTTAAACAAAAAATTGAAGATTTTTTTTTGATTTTTTAAAAATCATTTTTAAATTAAACCGTTTCCTGGTTGGCTTGTTTTGTTCTGACTGTCGATAATGCCTAAATTCTAGGTATTCGCCAGCTCCATGTATGATATGACCAGCAAAAATAATCATCAATTAAAAAAACGTCTTTTTTAAGAATATCGTCGGAACGTTCTGTGCTACTTGCACAGCCACCGGCTATACATGTTTTGAAATGATAACGTCGCTTAAGTTAGAGACTTGCCTGATGGTTTCTTAGAGTCAATGATTAAGTCGAATAGCGCTATTCAGATCGTTCCGTTTGCTTGTTTTCAGGAAAAACTTTTCAGGTTGTTCATGCTAACTTTTAATTCTTCGTGATTTGTCCTTTCTTTTTTTTTGATAGTTATAATTTAATTGAAGTGGCAATAACGATGCAAGTTAGAATTAAAACTTTTTCGTTACAGTGAACGAAACTAAAGAAGTTCAGAATAATTACTTTCAATTGTCAATGAACCCAGTGAAAAGAATTACACAGGAAGTATTTCTTGTGAGGGAAAATATTTGACAAAAAACTGATGCTGAAAACTATTTTTAGTTTGATTTTTGATTTTATTTTAAAATGGTTTCCTAGTCATTGCTAAAAAGAGACAAACTTCACTCTTCCAAACCTTACTAAAGTCTCAAGAAAACGCCTTCAACTTTTTTTCGGTCAAAACATTTGTTTAAATTTCCGAGCGAAAAAACAACAAATAGAGTTGAGTGCGGTTCTCCTTAATTTGATTGAATTTTAAAAAAACTGAATATTAAGTTCAGAAAAAATTAAATTCATTTGCTTTAAATGCGAAACACGAGAGTGCACTTGTTTGTCTTCTTTATTTTTCTGTCAACTGAGACCAATACGCTTGTCATAAAAACACTCTTTTTAAACACCAAGATTGGAAAAACAATCCAGAAAAAATCCTATTTCGATGAAATTCTTGATTTTCTCTATTGTCTGTTGGTTATCATTTTGCTTCTCGACTTCAAAATATTTTTTTCATCGCCTCATAAACAATTAACAAGACTGCTCATTATCAGGGCAACGCCCTGAATGTTCCGATTGTCCCTTAATTCATATCGAACAGTTTTAAGGAAAGAAAATATTGGAAAACTCTAATTGTTTAACAAAATCAAACATCAAGTGTGAAAATTAATATGAGCAATTAACAGCCTCAATTCACTTTGAAACATTTTTTTTGTGCCGGATAATTTGCCACGCTTTGTCATTTCACGTCACGTTTCCAGCATTTTGAACAAAATCTTCTAATTAGGCATGAGTTAGTCCAGAACATGGCCAAATTGGCAATTTTCAACTTCCACAAACTTTGCAAAAGTAGATCGATGGTACATTATTATTTTTTATTTGATTTCAATTAGTCAATATTTTCAATAGGGTAAGAAACAATTTGTCAGAAACTATTATTTCAATCGCCGAAAATTGATTGAAAAAAAAAAACACCGCAAGCATAAATTTTCCGTTTTCTTTGAAAATGCAGTTGAAATTTAGCATTTTGTTCAACTTCAACCAATCATGAAAGAGCAAATTACATTGAAAGCTTAGATTTTGAGAATAATGTGCAAATTCTGGCCATATACAAAAACACCTAATAGGTTCAAGCGCGTTCCTGATAAGCTAAAAATACCTAATTGGATATCCGATTTCCACTTTCTAGTTATTGGGTTTATCATTGAAAAATTGTTATGAAGTGCTTCAGGAATCAGTGATTTGGGTTGACCTTGACAGAAAAACGCTTATCATGCTCCTCTATATATTTTTTTAGTGAAAACTTAAGCCGACAGACTTTTAAATGAAAATTAAATACAGCGTGGCGTTTTCTGACTATTTATTTCTAGGTTAAAGCTAGATTAAATCATTGTTTTGGAATAAAAACCAAGCGCAAATGCTACAGTTCTCATTTAACTGAAGTGTCAAGTTTCAAAATTCAAATCTTCGAACACCAAAAGTTGAAACAATTTCATAATGTTGCAACCAAAAATCGTGTGTGTTCACATAAAGAAGATGCCGACAATCAGCTCTGACTGTGTTTCTATATTCTATGTTTTATGGCTAGTGTGTAAAGCTTTGCTCCCAACAATGGCGCCAAAAAAATTACAATTTTGTCCGTCAGATGTTTTCATCAAATGGAAGTTTTTTTTGTAATGATATGTAAATGCTACTAATCGGAAAAAGAGGATTTTTTCGTTTTTCAATTTAGGAAAAAGGTGTTGATCATTTCTGCGTCAAACCGGAAAAACGAGTTGTGGCCACTAGCATCCAAGTTAAAGTTTGAGTAACCGGTATTTAATCGTAACCGGCAGTTTCCAAGAGATTATAACTCTTGCAGTTAATTATTTTTGCTGATTTTTCTTCCAACATGTCTCTTTTAAGCTATCTGTTATAAACTATTAGATTTTTTGTTTAGCCAAAATGTTATCACACTAAATTATATCTGTTTAGATATTATAACAATGCTTTTAAAATTTTGATTTCTCTAAATCTTGTATATTACTTGAGATATTTCCGTGATATAGAAAAAAAACGCTACCAAAGTAACTATGAAACTAAAACAGTTTTCCCAAAATTAAGTTGTAAAAAAGAAATGTGCATGTAGTAAAAAAAGAAATGTTTCAGTTAAGCTTGAAAATAACCAAAATTGAAAACAAGAAACAATGAAAAAAAACGTTTGAAGTTAAAATTGTTTCAAAAAAGGATTTTTTTAAAACTTCACGTTTAGAAAATTCTATGGAAAAAAAAATTCAAATTGGGCGAACATAAGCAATTGAACTATTTTATGGCTGGTTGAAATGGATTGAATGTCATAACAAAAAAAACGGAAATTGGGATGAAAATAATTTATTATAATCAATTCTAATTGTATCAAGATCAGATCGAATAATAGTCATATTTATAAATGCACTTATGAAAACCCTTGGAAAGATACGCACTTTTGAGATCAATTCAAGTTCATTTGCTAGAAGATATGCAAAATCTACTCTCCGATTTTGGGTTAGTTTATCAGAAAGTTTTCAATTTTACATTGGTCTTGGAATTCAAACGCTTTAAGTTAATCTGTTTCATTGCATTCATTGACTCTTTTTCAACTGTCTGTTGGCTATGCTATAAAGTACACATTCAGTTTTTGAAAATGAACTCAAACAAATTGGTGTTCGTTTTTTTTTTGGTCAATTTCATTCGATCGCGGTTTATCATCATGTGCTTTATTCGCTTTGTTGGTAGCCTAATTGTAAATTTGAGGACTTAAAGCAACGAATGTTCTCGAAGTACCGCAAATTTTTCCAATTTGGAAACTTCTATGAATGATTACTTATTTATAGCTCGTAGATGGTTAATCCTTAGTTTTTTCCTTTGTCATTTATCAATTTCACACACACTGGCGAGTGTCATATATGAGTAGTGCGTTTTCAAATAGGAGTAATTTGTTTGATTTTCTTTTTTTTACCGTTTCAAAGTGTCTGAAATTATTAAAACATCTAGTTTGCTTTTTTTCTTTTTTTTGTGGAAGACTCCTAAAATCTACAAAATTTCTGGGACAGCTGGAGCAGTTAAATACCGTGTGCTTTATAACCCGCAGATTCGTGCTTTGAATCTTGTAGTCCTTTATTTTTTTAAAATTGGTTTATTTTTTGATTTACGTTTTTTTTTTGCTAGCAGGTTAGTTGCTAACAAAAAAAAAACAAATGAAGAACAAACTTACTTCGAATAGTTGATTTGTTCAACGAAATAAAATAAAATTAATCCAAAGTTGATCCCAAAGTTGATCCACAAAAATTTAACTTTATAAATAACTTTTTTAATTCATTTTCCTTAGTCTCCACCTAACCTAATATGCTTTTAGTTTTCCTTCTAATCTTTTTCCTAACCTTAATGATTGACTTGAAGCCTGTAATACCATAAGCCTTCTCATCCTAAATTCTTTTTTCACTATCTACTGGGAATCAAACTCAGGTCACCATGGGTGCCTGTTGCGTTTCTTATTCCAATAATCAATCCGCTTTAATCTTTTAATTATCTTTAGTAACTCTGCAATTCTCCAAGGTGTGTTTCCGATAACTTCCTATCATAACCTTCCGTAACATTTGATTTACTCATTGAGTGTTTTTCTTATGAATTACATTAATCCATAGATGGTTTTTCATTTTAATTGGCTGAACTCCTCTTGAGATGGGTGACATAACTGCAGTATTCTGATTATCCAGCTTTTTCAATTCCATTCTTGGAGGGAAACTTAATCAGCCGAAAACTAGAAACTAAAAGTGAGAAAAATCAGCTAACTTTGTGCCAATGTCTTTTTTGAAGTGAACTATAGTTCAAATAAACTCAGAAAAAACTAATTGAATCAAATAAAATCAGACAATCAAAGATTAGGATGCATAAAATTCAAGAATTATCTCTAGCTTGATGAATGTCAATAGTCTTTATCACCCATTGAGCGTATTGTTTCAGAAGTGGACAACTTTGTGGAGGGGCAATCTTACGAAATGATCTGAGTGCGTTTATACAATTAGAGTAAAAATGATTTTAGTAACATGAAAATTAGTAATTACATACTGCATAAAATTATAATTGTTTCTTTTTTCCTGTAGCCTCCCGCCCTCCGCCTGCACAGAAGTTTTTCGGATAAAAATAGGTTATATTGACAAAATCTTGCAAAAAATGTTGCCATTATAATCGAAAATATGTCACCAATTTATATATATATATATATATATATATATTCTTTTAAAGCAATGATTCGTATTTTTGTTTCAAAATATAAAATCATGCTTACAATGGGTCATGTTTTTACAGGGACCATATGGGGAAAAAAGAGTTTTTTTGTCAATATATGGTGAAAAAATAGAAATTTTTTGGGAGTATATGGAGAAAAAACAATAGACTTTATTTCGATTACAAGGAGAGAAAAATGCATTTTCTTGGTATTATAAAGAGAAACAAGACTGCTCGTATCAGGGCGAAGCCCTGAATGTTCCGACTGCCTTTTAAGGTTTATGGAGCAGTAATAACATTAAAAAATTAAATGGGACCAAGTTAACATCCTCCCCCCTAAACACGTTAAGTAGATCTCACTTTTTGTATGTCAACCTTGAAAAATAATGGAAATTGAGAAAACTTTAAAGAGATATATATTTTTTGAAAATCGAAAGTTTAAAAAACAAACTCGATAAGATGAGACTTTTGGAAGCTCAATTCAAATTTCACAATTGAGGTCAATTCCAAAGGAAGTTGATCTGTTGATCTGCACAGCGATCTATTCACCGTTTGTAGAAGCGAGCATTCGCTCGTAAATCATATTTCGCATACATTTTCCGTAAACATATCCGTATCTATCACCCCCGGAAATCGATTTCAATGCTAAACATTCTGTCATTTTGCGTCATCAACGCGTAGGGCTGTTCTTGCTTCACATCCACCCGGGTTGACCCAAACTTCTTATCATACAATTTCTATATATGAGAAACTTCTTGTCATACAATTTCATAAATTCCATACGTACAGAAAATGGATTTTTTGTTTCTAAGTTTAATTTTTGAAAAATTTTGGTTGTGTTTGTAACCAAACACAAATGACAAAGACCTTGGTTTACTGAAAGCACCAAAGTTTGGACAATCATGCAGGTACAATGCATATAAAACGACCTGAGTTGTCTTCGAGCTGTTTTTTCACAAATGATATAACAAAAATAACAAACTTTTAACATTTGGCGAAATTTTTCAGCGACGATTATTTTAAAAATTTGAATTTTTAAATTATCAGACATTGTTCAAGGCATACATAAACACGCCCTACAAAAGAAAAAGGAATTTTCAGCGCTTTGAAAAAAAATTATGAAGCGAAAAGGAAAAAAGTCCCAACATTAATGTTTTCAGGACTACGTTATGCACACAAAAAATTAAATTTTGTATGCAAAAAAAAATTTGTTAAATGTTTGCATAAGTACAAGAATCGATTTTCGGTTGAAAAAAAAACAAAAAAATTTTTGGGCCAAATTTTCAAAATTACTTAATTTTGGGCCAAATTTTCAAAATTACTTACTTTTCATAATTTCATAATAATTTCTTTTTCACCCATTTTTCGAAATTGTATGAAAATTGTACGAAAAGCAATTTCCCACACACTTGATGTATGGAATTGTATGATAAGCATTTTCGGTGTAAGGAGGTCAACCCGGGCATATTGAACATTTCCATCAGTGTAATGATAATTTACACTCTGTAAATGAGTCGCAGTTTTTTTACAGAAGAAAGCGTTTGTTATTTAAAACCATTGACAGCGCTTGCGGACTAAATCCCCTAAGATTAAGTTCCCTGGATAAAATTCCACTGGATATGATCCCCCTGGACTAAACTTATCAGGGACCAAAAAATTCTTGGACAAAACCCCCAGTATTTATTTCAATATCCCCCACATTAGCATTAGACAAAAATGCAACACGGAAAACTAAATTACCCGCACTGAAGTTTCCAAGAAAATCGATCAAATTTCACTTTCCTTGTAAATGACTAAAGAATTGAAACTTAATCTGGTGGCCAGTCAATAAGCAGAATGGTCTAAGAGCAGAAAGGGTCCAAGAGCAGAAAAATTGAAAAACATCATCTTTTATACCATAATCGGTAAATTAAGTATCAGAAATGTCAATAATACCAAAGCAACGAACAATTTATGCATCATTTGTGTACTTTAACCAAGGTTTTTTAAAAAGTTTTAATAAAAAACTTAATGAAATTATTCAATTCATGCACAATTTATTCATTTTTTGGTGTTTTTTGACAATTCAAAAATTTGTTTTATCAATTAGTCCGTATAAACCAACAGAAGTCAATTTTTTTTCTGTTTTTCTGCTCTTGGACCCATTCTGCACTTGGACCATTCTGCTTATTGCTCCGCCTCCCTTAATCTCTTGTCTATTATCAATTAAAAAGAAATTGTATTGCTTTTTTAAAAAAAGTATTGAAATTCATTTCAAATCAATTAAAACCAATTAATTTTCATTTTATAGATAAAAACAATCAAGCTTCAATGATATTTGAATTTCGACGCACACAGACTCGTTAGCGCGTTTTTAACTAAAGTGTGTCACCTGTTGTTCAAACTTCAACTTCTTTGCTGGTCAACTTCGGCTTTTGTTACTTGTTATACTATGTTGCTCAAATTTTTTTTGCTTATAATCATTTTCATTTTTTATTTAGAAACTATGGGGAGGGGGTGAGGGGGTTGAAGTTGGACAAGTTTTAAGAAATTAACAAAAAAAATTGCAGTTTTTTAGTCAAAACCTTCTGAAAAGTGCACAAAAGTGGAACTTTTAACCTGTTTTTTTTTTTAAAATGTTATGGATGGTATTTTTTTTTATGTATGTATGTATGTATGTATGTATATATGTATGTATGTATGTATATATGTATGTATGTGTATATGCATGTACTGATGTAGGTGTAAACTGTTTTTAGGCGAGTATTTTTGACAAAGCTTTCGTGTTAAAAAAACAATTGGTCAATTTCGACCTATTTTTTTTTTTGAAAAATTGATTTAAAAAACAGCCGAAACGCTTGGGGAGAGTTCAATATTTACAACGGAGGTGGATTGGGTTTTTTGAAGGAAGAGAGTGGCGGGGGTGAATGCAAATGCAAATGCAAATGGGGTGAATTTAATCGTCTAATATGCGTATCAGTCGCATGGATCTCAGATCAGAGTCTTAAAGAATTCACTTAGATGTTTGGGCTCGTGACTCTTGAATTTCTTTAGTTTTTCAAATACTGTGTAAATCAAGTTCAAATATGTTTAAAAAAGTTTTAGTCGTGACAGCCCGCCACTGTGTGGACCCTGCAAAAGGAGGATTCTCCTCAGGAGAAGTGATTTACGGGTCCAGTTCCAAATACCCCTTGTATCAAAACTACACCATCGCATTTGATCAGTGGGATATAATACTGCACAACAAATCATACATTGATTGCGCACTAATTCTCTTGCAGGTATGATCAAGGGCGGATTTAGGGGTGGAGAGGGGGTGTGGGTGAATTGGGCGGACACCTCTTTTTTAGTGGTTTGACCCCCTGCCAAAACAAAGAGTCCCCCCCCCTTTGTACTATTTTGAGATATCCATTTTTGGTTGACGGACCCATAACATTCTTCGGCCCCATAATATTAATTTTAAGGGGGGAGCGCGCGACGAAAAAACGCAATTTTTTGGTAAAATTTTTTTTAAAAGTGCCTCAAAACGAAATTTTTGGTATATTTTTTCTCGCACCTGGGTATGATACAGATCTGAATTTTTAAAAACATCTAATAAAGCAATGTGCCCTCATAAAATGTTCAAATAATGTGATATACTTTTTTTAATAGAAAAACATGCTCCGGAGTTTGCGTTAGGCTTTTTGGCTCTTTTCCTTTTCCCCCACCTGCAATTTTTACTGAAAAAACTACTGTTTACATTGTCCGATCGTTATAAAAAATGACATGCGGATTGACTAGGCTGTGCCAAACATATTTGGTCTCCATTTTTAACTTTGTAAAACCACTCGTTTTACCATAAAATTGATAGATGTGTGAAGTGGGAGGGAAAGGAAAAAGGACCGACTTTTCAATTCGTAAATCTGAGATAGTTATGTTTAGTATAGACCTGCTATCCACCCTTTATTTACCCGGGTTGAAGTCCCACCGTTAATTATTGCTTTTTCTGCAGTATCCTAGTGATCGCTAATTTCCAGCGCTGATTCATGTATAATTCAGAGTTTTTGCATAGCTAAACCTGCGACATTTCAGAGCTATTTCAGTAATGATTCTGTAATAATCAGCGCTAAAACTTCAGAAATTTTGGCTCATTCTAGTAGCTTTCAAATGAGAGTTTTTATCTGATAATCTCTTTAACTTGATATAAGCTAAGAACTGATTGAGCAGAGGTAACATGCATAGCTACAAAGCTGATGGTTGCGGGATCTAATACGGGTAGTTCATTGTTTTTGCACTTGATAGTTTTGTATAGCTATTTCACCGCTAGAAATAAGCCAAATTAGCGATAATCTATCAATAAAATTTGCTATTGATGCAATGAACATCGATAGTTCATCGATGGCGATCGCTGTTTTTTCTCTTTTTTTAACGCTTATTTTCAATGTAGGCTCAACGCTAAGGTTGAACAATTCAAAATCCAGCAATCCAAAATGCATCTCATTTTCGCCTGGTTTTTGAGCGGTTGAAAGCCAAAAATTAATGATTGGAGCATCTTATTGTTCCGACTTTCGATGAAAACTGAAAATTTATATGCTTGTTGAGTTTTGTTTTAATCAGTCAATTGTTCAGTCAATCGAAATAACATTTTTCAACCAAAATTTTTTACACCCTATTAAAGATATCGACTTCCTGAGTTCAAATTTAAAAAGATATTATCTACCCTATAATACTTTAAAAATATATTATCTAAAACGATATTATAGTTCAGATTTAAAAAGATATTATGTAAAAAGATATTGACATTTTCTTCAAATTGGTCATGTACTGGAGTAACTTATGCGCGCTTTGAAGAGTTTATTGAAAGTAATTGAATATTTGTGATCGGGGTGGGTTTTTTTTTCTTCAGACAAATTTCGACTTTTTAACTAGCCAATTTTTTACAAAATTTTCTTATATCATTCGAAAGCTATTGCTGTCTTGAGCATAAATTTGAAATATTATTTCACTTGTGATTTTTTTTTCGTAAAGTTATGGGGGTTTAAAGATTGCCATTTTGGTCAATTTGGGACAATTAACGCACGATATATTTCGCTCTATTAACGCGTAAGCGAGATTTAATCCGTCTTAGAAATCGTTCCAAATTGGTTGAAAGAAGCTTATTTGCCATAATTGATTGGTTACAATTAGCGGAATTTATTTTTTTGTACTTTATTTGGCGTGTGGGGGGATGATTTCATAAAAAAAATTTCAAATTTAAGAACTTTTTTTTTTATTTTATTTTATTGTATTTAATTTTTATATGTTACTACTGCTCCATAAACCTTAAAAGGCAGTCGGAACATTTAGGGCTTCGCCCTGATACGAGCACTCTTGTTCTTAATGCTGAGAGGGTAACGCGAATTATTTATGCGTGGCGAATTATCTCGCACAACAAAATCGTTCATATTAAATTGAGGCTAGCTAATCAGATTGGTCGTATTGATTTTGTACAACTCAAAATTTCACACTTTGATGCTGTCCAAAAATTATAGGTTTTCAATAATTTTTTTTCCTAAAAACTATTCGATATGAATTAAGGGATAGTCGGAACATTCATGGCTTTGCCCTGATATACGAGCAGTCTTGGTTATTACTTGGTTATTAGTCTGAAAAATTTCGTCTGATTGCAACAAGCTTGAACCGTTTTTTCTAAAAATTTCTGCCGTTTATTCACTGATTTTATTTCAAAGGGAAATAAAAGCAGCTAGAAGGGAACATATATGTAACGAGTTTTAAATAAACGGCTCCGTGTTTATTACTCTAAATTTATTTAGAATAAGATGAATTTGGGAGTGAATGTGGGCCCGATTGCGCTTCCTGCCAATGCGGCTACTGAACCCAAAGTTGGGGATGTCATGGTTGTGACAGGGTGGGGGCTAGCATGCAAGGACCCACCTACGTGTAATGATCAATCCAAATTCCCGGAACTTGTTCAGGTAAGTTCTCACGTCACGGATGGTTGTTTTAATTTGTGTTAATTACTAATTTCGTTTCATATTACCAAACTCGCTGTGAGTTGGTGAAATTAAATGATCGTTAAAAACAATCTTTACGAGGGTAAGGCAACTTACAAGTTTTGTTTTCCCTTCTCTATTGCTAAAAACATCGAAAATTAAATCGGACGTGTTTCGCGATTCTGTTAACATTAAAAGTTATAGACAATTTGACAGCATTCTTCATTCAGCGACCAATCAGTACAATAGTAATCAATTCTTTTGCAATAGCAAGGAATGCTCTGTCAAAATGGCGGGTGGATTTGACATCATTCCTCAAGAACTCAGCGAATCATCACTCAATGAAATCCCCCCCCCCCTCCCGTCCCTGGTTCTTTTTACCGTAATCATGTTCAGTCAACCCTCGGAAAAAGAAGATCAACTCATATGTAAATTGTGGTATGCTCAAGATCAGCAATTTCATTTAAATACTCTGAACATTTCCATTTAGGAAAGAGACATTACCCGGAAGGACGATTCGTGCATCACAGATCAACTGGTTGCGGACACAGGATTCGGTCCGAGTCAGAAGCAGACTCTAATGTGTGGGGGAGGGAATGAGAGGGGCTACAAGGCAGATGCGTGTGGCGGAGACTCAGGGGGACCTCTTGAGTGCTTCGTTTCAGGTGCCCATCACTTCATTTATAAAAATCTCAAAAAACGAGCAACAATGTAATCTAGCTCTTTTTTCCTCCGACCCCAACTGCGAATATTATGCATGTTCAACTCTTGCTCTCAATGATTACCAGTTGATTACACAAATTGGGATATGGAAGAGTCGTTTGGTTAATCCAAACAAATTTAGTCTTCATTTAGCTAACCTTGTAATACCAAAAAATTGATGCCTATGTGAGGCGAGGGGATGGAAATAATCCATAATTTTATGCGAGTGTGCGCGAAATAAACTCCGACTGTGTGTGAACCACTTTTTGATTTTCTGGGCCGAAACCTCTGAGACTTTACAGACGATGATCTTTGTAGTTAGGTGTGAAGCAAACTCAAATGATTGGTTTATTTTGTGCTTTATTTTGTGGTGTCGGGCCTCAAAACACCAACGTCCGGTTGAAAGGTGTGAAGAACGCCTGTTATGTTCTTAGGCGTGCCCTACTTGTGTGGTCTGGTCACGGCCGGTCCAGCGGCCCCCGACTGTGGCCTCACTCCAGGGGCCTACACGAAGACCAATTTCATCCAGGTGCTCGACTTTCTCCGCAGTGGAGGGGTGTTGTACGGAAACAAAGACATGAACGTCACTTTAAGTAAATTTGACGACATCTTCGAAATAGCATAAAAGTAGAGATCACGTGAACTATCCTCCGTCCAGTTAATTGATCCAGAACGGAGATCGTTCAATTATTTATCAGTATATGTTTGTGAGTACGAACAAGCAAACTTGTCGAATAAGTGTCGCGGGCGTCTTAATTTCAGCAGCTGCCCGCACCGGAGTTCCATGGATAATAATCGATTATATTGGAAAAATGTTGTCTGAAATGTTGTCATTATAATCCATTATAATCCATTATAATCCATTATTGTGGCAAATTTAGACCACGTAATCGATTATGTGGTCATTAAAATTGATTTTTTTGAAAAATAAAAATCCATTATAATCCATTATAATCCATTTTATTTCGTTAATTAGGCTATTCTATTTTTAGTTCTTTCTATGTCTGGAAGAAAAAAGCAAGTTTAAAAATGTAAAGTTACTAAGTTTTCCTAAAAACATGCAGTTAAAGCAAAGAATGATTTAAAACATAGAATCAGCATACATTTATAACGAATCAGAAAAACAGGCTAAATGTTTTCATCTTCATGTTCTCCCATTTGTTCATATTCATGTTCTCCTAAACTTCTCCAGAACCAGTGACCTCTGCGGATTATTTTGCTTTAAAAACAAATTTTATTCTCTTTCAAAAATAATCGATTATAATCCATTATAATCGATTATATTGGGATTATATTGCTTAGAAAAATAGTATCATTATAATCCATTTTTAATCGATTATAATTGATTATTTTTGTAGTTTTTTTGAGGTTGTCAACAAAAATCCAATATAATCGATTATTATCCATGGAACTCCGGTGCGGGTGGGCTATCGCAAGTGACTAATCGGACAACCCTGATTAAAAAACATTTTTATGCATTAGTAGGTTGTGCAGATTGCTTGAGAATAGCAATTTTCTCAACCATTTTGCGCAGAGAAGTGTCTCTGAACTACAGTGGTATGTTATTAACCACCAGCATTTGGAGGGAAGGTGTGGCAGAATCTTTGACATAATCTGGAAACAGATTTTAAATTACTGCAGTCGATTTTTTTGCAAATGAATAAGTGCATGTGGCAACTGTTCGTGACTTCATAGGTCCATGGCTGAACATTAGAGAGAGCCGAGACACTTATACACCTACAAAATCTTCATTGAAATATGGCTATTTTCAGGACCAACTCTCAAAAAAACCGAGGTGACTATTGTGGCCCAAAATCTAAATAGCGATTTTATTGATAACAAAACTGAACCCTTCTCTTGATAGACCGCCAATATATGTTGACAGCGCATCCACCAGTACGCTGGTCTACCTAAATGCACAAATATAAAGGAGAATGTTAACTTCTCCGATGTGCTTCAACAAAAGCTCCGGCCCACCTGTTCTTTTTAGACTGAAAGCTCGACTCGAGTTCGTTAAGACTTTCGCGCTGAGACTGAATTACTACAAACAGTAGCGGATTTATGGAGGAAGCTCTTTTTCAGGGGTTCGACCCCCCGACCACACACAAGTTACCCACTTTGGTAATATTTAAAAGCATCAAATTTGGATAAGCGACACCAAAATTTTTCTTGTTTAGGAAACGCTATTGACACACTTAAGAAACGCTTAAAATTCTCAACTAACCTGAAAGGATGTTCAATTAATATAACAAAAAGATTGACAGCTATTTGTGAACATCCTATTATTGTTATAAAAACAAAAAATTACACATTTGGCGGTGAATCAAACTTATTGATCTTTGTAATACAGTGCTGATTTAAATTATCAAGGCAAAAAGCATACAATTTGAAAATTACAACGCGTTTTTCTCATATTGGGTTGACTTTAGCCAAAAATACGAGCACAAAATTTGTTCACAATTTGAACATATTTTTTTCGGTGTATTGTTTTGCGAATTTCAGGCCAAATTTCCCCCAAAAACTGATCATTTTAGCCTTTTTAGTCAACTAAAATTTACACCGAAACTGTGAAATCAAATACTGGCAAAAATATATCAATGTAAGTTTTTTCTCTGGCTCAACAAAATTAAGGAACAGTTTGGTCTCCAAAAAGATACGCGAAACCTTCAAGAACTTGTCTTGAAACAGGAAGTTTTGTAAAAAAAAAAGCTTGTTTCTTTGGAATCTGTACACAAATTGACGATCCGGAGCAAAAAAGGAGCAATCTCCGGTTTTTGAATTAGGCAATACAATTTTTCAAAAAAAAAAATTTCCACTTCAAGGTTTTTTATTTTTTTTTCAAATCACGCCTCTACTTCTATTCATCCTAAAAAGCTCGACTTAGCAAAGATTTGATTTAAATTTTCATAACTTGAGTTTGATGGGTTGAGATTACCGAAGTTACAAAACAATTACTGGCTAAAATGAGTCTCTTAAAGTCAATTATATTCTCCAAAAATAAGGAACGTTGAAAAATTGTTTTTCAGAAGTTTATTAATTTTTATAGATATCGTTTTGGTTTACTTGGCTATCAAACAGAAATAAACTTTTTTTACACAATGTTTTGGCGTGTATACCTTTCTTAATTTTTGCTAGGCCAAGTAAGAGGCTCACTTTGATATTGTTTTGACACTAATTGATTTCGTAGTTGTGGTGTATTTTTCTATTGACTAAAAAGTCTAAAATGATCAATTTTGGGGTAAAATTTTAACCCAAACTTCGCAAAACAAATTACACCGAAAAAATTGTCCAAACTCTCAGCCAGTTTTTCATCATCATTTTTTGTCTAATGTCAACTCAATTTGAGAAAAATGCGTTTCAAGTTTCAATATTTTTGCGTTTTGTCAGGATATTTTAAGCCAGTAGTGTAACTGGTTAATAGTCGATGAACGTAGTTCAGACTCTTACAGAGATCGTAATGATTTGTTTTGTTTTCAGGAAAATCTTAATAAGTTCTACTAGCTACTGTAGTGCATAATTTTTTTTAATGCATTCATGAATGTACTTAGGTAATCATATACTTCTTGCGCTCAATTGAAATTCATCTGCTACCAGGCAGTACAATGCACTTACCAAATACGAACGAAGAAGTTGTGTGAAAAAAAACGTGATCGAATTCTAGTTTCGAAGTGGAATTTAACTGAGTTCATTTTGACCTGAATTCATTTTATCAAAAATTCCAGTCATAAATTATTCTTAAAATTAGAAGAGCTTTTAAGCCATGTAATTTTTTTTTGAAACTCGAAATATGAAGTTAACAAAAACTAATTCAGTTTTTTGTTTCTTTGCGTTCATTGACTCTTTTGCAACTGTTTGTTGGCTTGTTTGTTTTCAGGAAGAGTACTTGCCTTCAAATTGAATTCCTTCAGATGCTCGCTCAGCTCAATTTGCATTTTTTTGATGCTAGTTATTACCCAACAGCAGAACTGAAAATGTTACAATTAAGGATGTTGAACAAATGCTACCAGAAGGATGTTGAAGAAAACAACTGAGACTAGAAGGCTATAGAGACCAAAACAAATTTAAAAAACTTTCAAAAACTTCTTTTTAAAATATTACCTAAAAGCCGAAAAAATATATTAAAAATAGTACGGAACTGTTTTGTTTCCTGGAGAATGTTGAAACTTTTTTTAAACATTTTTGGCTGAATTAGTAGCTTTGAATTTTTCAAAGTCAGGAATCAACACAAGCTTCATTAAGATACACCTACTCAGTTTGATCGCTTCGGTTTTGTACTAAGAAAACAATTGAATTTTAAAATTTTCTGAAAAAATGAAGCGCTTTGTAGTGATAGAACTTGTCTGGAAACAGGAAGTTTTGTAAAAAAAAAAAGCTCGTTTCTTTGGAATCTGAACACAAATTGACGATCCGGAGCAAAAAAAGGAGCAGGCTCCGGTTTTTGAATTAGGCAAAAAAAATTTTCAAAAAAAATTTTCCACTTCAAATTTTTCCTTCAAATCACGCCTCTATTTCTTTTCATCCTAAAAAGCTCGACGTAGCAAAGATTTGATTCAAATTTTCATAACTTGAGTTGATGGGTTGAGAGTACCGAAGTTACAAAGCAATTACTGGCTAAAGTGAGTCTCTTAAAGTAAAGTATATTCTCCAAATAAAAGGAACGTTGAAAAATTGTTTTTAAAAAGTATATTGGTTTTTATAACTATCGTTTCAATTTATTTGGCTATCAAACACAAATAAATTAATTTTGACACAATGTTTTGGCGTGTATACCTTTCTTAATTTTTGTTAGGCTACGTAATAGGCTCACTTTCATATTATTTTTTACAGTAATTGACTTCGTAGTTGTGGTGTGATTTTCAATTGATTGAGAAGTCTAGAATGATCAGTTTTTGGGGCAAAATTTGGGCCTCGAAAATTTTCAATTCAGGCCTTTAATTTTGATTTATCCCAAAAAGCTCGACTAGGCAAAAATTTTATATATATTTCTATAATTTGAGTTCAATAGGTTGAAACTTTTGGCCACAATAAAATAATTGCTTCACCATAATGGCGTAATCAACATATGAAGTGAACAAAAAATGAAGATGTTTGCATATGCGATTTGAAAAACGATCCGATTAGGAGAAGGCCCAAAGATAGATAAAGTGAAAATGGCTGAAAAGCTGTAACGAGAGATTAATTACATTAGTCGCAAATATTCAAATTCAACTAAGGAATCAACTTGAAGTTCTTCTTGACTGGTCTAAAGACAATTAGTGAGTCGAAAGAGTTCACAAAGCCGCCAAACTCTCTTTTATAGAAGAGCACAGAATTATGCTCATTTGCGTCTGAACTCAACAGGCACAACGTTTAATTGGAATAGAACTTTTTGTAGCTGTACTTTAAATCAATTCTTGCCTACACAAAGTTCGTACCAAAGTTTTGTTGTTCTGAAAACCAGCGACACACGTGTTGTGGCAATTAAACCCCACTCAAAAAAATTGCTGAGTTCCAGAGGCGTTTCCTTGTTTTTGTCTTTGAAATCTAGAACTAGTCAGAAAGTTCTACTAAGTTCTAGAAAGTTCTGCGAAGCCCTGAATGTTCCGACTGCCTTTTAAGGTTTATGGAGCAGTAGTCCCGGGTTGA